GGGTTGATTCTAATGCACTCAACCTTCAATGTAGTTACGAGGTAAGTCTGTCAGTTCATGACAGCCCGGCTCAATTGAATATAAACGATTGCTCAGCTGAAGTCACGGTTGGCGGGCACATAGAGGAACACAACCGTTGGCCGTTGAGGCGGAAAGGTTCTGGTTCTGGTCTACAATGATGTTCAGTGGAATGTGTCGCAGCGATGACATCTACATTGAGCATTGTAGGTTGAAATAATGAGGGTAATGTTATAGTCACCCTATTGAAGTCGTTATGTATGACGCTATTATATCACTATCATAATTAAAAGTTGCTATTTATCATTATACGTTGTTATCACAAAGTTGAAAGGAAGCAATGACTGTTTTTATCTCAATAAACTAAATATAACCACTTGAAAGGGGGCGTCCATAAATTACGTGAGGTGTTATTTTTAATTTTCTGTCCCTCCCTCCCCCTCTGGTGAGATATCGTGAGATTTTATTCAACCCCCTCCCCCATCCCCCAATCTCACGTGAGATTTTTCAAAATGCAATTTGATGAGTACTTGCGAGTATTTGCCTTGTTGTAGTATCGAGTACTCAGTATCGAGTATCGCTTTTGAAAGTATCGATACCTACTCGGTATCGAAAGTATCGTTCGAGCCCTACAAATATGATGGTTTGACATTCAGTCGATGTATAGCGTCGAAATATGAATGAAATTATTTTTTTTCGAACGAATTAGTGAATGATCTTAATCGTATACGATTACGCTTAAGATTAAATCTTAAGCATGTACAATCTAGATTAAATGGACCAAAATAGTTTTTTTTTTGTTTCAATCAGAAAAAAAAATTGCGTGATATTTGCCGAGACCCCCCTCTCTCCAACGTAAGATTAGATGAGATTTGCCTCGACCCCCTCCCCCCCTTAAACATCTCACGTAATTTATGGACGCCCCCAAAGCTGTTACTTCAACAGTTACATGATTTTCTACGTTATATTTTTAATGACTATCGTTGTGTAGCCGAGCCGATTTCAGTTTGAAGTTAATTTTGAGCTAGTATTCGGAGTATGTTTTTTTTTATCACCTGTTACTCAGTTACCGGGGGATCGAATCCGTAAAAATCCGAACAAGAATTCGAATGTTTCCGAATTCTATTATATTGATTCCATGATTTTTGTAAAAAAATACAAAACAAAACTGATTGATTATACGTATGTCAGATATTCAATTCCTGGTGGATATGAATTGGTTATACGAAACGCTATTACCAATTCAAGATTGGGCGGATGCGGATTTTTGATGTGAATTCCGACACCTGAATGAGATCGAATCCGGGTTGGGATTTTTACAGAATCGCAGGGCTGTTAAAGTAGTTACATAGCAAGACATAAAACTGGTCATTAACCTTCTTTATAGAATTTCCTGTCTGGCCATGAAAACCGCAATCGAAGTTCTTTGCGTGGTAGGAAAGGTTAAAAGACTAAAAGATACGATATAAGGTAAAAACTCCTATGTGTCTTTGAATATAAGGGATGACAGTTTTTCAATTGAATTTAAAATGTCAAAACATAACTCACGCTGGAAAAACTATAATCTGAATATACTAATGTTATTTTATAGTTATATTAAACGAAGTTTATTTGAGGAGTCGATTGCAAAGTAAGGTAAATTGAATGAACGTTACAAATATTTATTAGTAATTTATCAAAACAGGAACATTAGTAATCATGTTGACTTGGATCTTTACAACTTATGAATCATGACGTTTCGTTTCAAAGTCCCATATTATGTAGTTTGCTTATACATAGTTTAAATTCTTATCAAACTTGAACAGTTTTCGTCACGTATTTTACATATTTCTGTAACCTATTTCGTACTCTACTTCTCAATGTACTAAATTCAAATAAACGAAACTTAAATGGAATTTCTCTAAAAAGTATTGAGTTTCTATGTTTAATCACATTATCCAGACTTCCGAGCACTGGTTACCCGTGACCTTGTTGTTATGAAGCCTTATTACCTCATACCGTATTTAAAGCAATGACTATGAGAGTCATTCTTTTAAATACATTGTGACACAAACATTATCTGTAAAATAAAACGAAAACAGCGATTTTTTCCGCATTTAGTTTTTACATTCTTATATAAACCATTATAAAACGCCAAGTGCATGATCAGATATATCGCGTGTTAGATGATGATGATGTTAGAAACTAATATAAATCGGCGAACATTTAGTCTTATTGTGAAACGAAGACTAACTTTAGCACCAGGTTTAAAACATTATCCGACAAAAATAAGTCAACACGAGACGTGTCGACGTTTTCTCTTCTGTCATTGCAATTTTACTTTAGGCGGTCAATGGTTAAAACCAAGTACTAAATCGCTTCAGGGCCGGCCCGTCCCCATATAGGCAAACTAGGTTTCTTATATGATATGTGAATGTGTAGCCGACCAGTAGCCGATAGATAAAGTCGGTGCTTGATAATTTTCCTTGAGTGTCGTTTCTAAATTGCTTCATCTTTTTGCAATGTTTTGTTAATTTTGAGATGAGAAATCCGCTGTCAATTTCATTACCCTTGAGTTGTTTAACCTTGCTTATTGTATTGAAAAAAAAACCGTCAAGTGCAATTCAAACTCGCACACGAAGAGGTCCGTGTCTCTGAATTATCTCTGAAAAACGCAAAAAGATCAGTTTGTAGTATGAGAGCCCCTTTAAATGTCTATTTTATTCTGTTATTTTTTAAGTGCAGCAATAGTTCATCTGAGATTTCAACTGTGTTACTATCACGGTTTATGAGATATAGCCTGGTGACTGACGAACGGACAGCAGAGTCTTATTACTTTATTAGATCCTTTTCACTGTTAGACACCGACCAGCGAGACTACAAATTCCCTTCTGATGTACCGTTAATTAACTGAAATTCTTATGTCAAGAGTAATCAATGCCAACTTCATTTAATCAGATCCAATTTATTTGATCCAACTTTAATTAAATGAGATGTTAAAAGTATTTCAATTCTAATTCAATACTTTATGAAGATGAACTAGTCAGGCGGTAGTCTCGCAGATATACTGAAGACATTCAGTCTAAACTTTATTGCTGACAATGATTACAAAATTGTTCTAACGATCGGCTTGTCGGTGTGAGAGTATTTTGTAGGTGGTTCTCAGATGGCAACTTTGGAATATACCAATTAATGTATTTTTTCTAAACACCATGTAAGTATATATACATTGCATCAGTTAACGTGCATTTAACATTGTCGAATAAATTACAATCGTTTTTTGAATTCCAAAATCCTAAGCTCTTTGACGCGTCCGTTCCATACTTATTATTTTGTAAAGCGTTAAACTCGGTTTCTAAATAAAAAAAGACTCATTATTTTAAGATTTTAAAACGCTCAGATGGTTGAAGTAATAGAAGATATATTTAACTTTTATTTAAAGCCTTTACTTTTTTACAAAAACGTTATGAAAATGCTTCTTTTGAGTACTATAGAATATTGGTTATACCGTCCTCTGCATCTCCCAGACACTCCATTGAGCCACAAAAGTAGGAAAAAAAAATATTTTTCTCTCTCTCCACACTTAGACTTTGTAACGTTATTGGCCAATTACTTCGTTAGACTTTTTAGTATTTTTATCTTTATTTGGTATTGTTTATTTATTTGGTAGTGTTTTTTTTTTCTATATTTGTTTGGTCATTTTTGTGCACTTTTCCATAGTCAAATATGATTGTACGCATTACTAAAAAGTAAGGTACGTTAATCAGGTTTCTTTAAAAAGATTAAAACGTGATTTCTAATTTATTTGCTACTAATTTCATCAGATTTCATCTAATTTGTGAGGTAAGTCGCGCAAAATTTCTTTGATACAATGGAATTATAAAAATTACTTATACCAGCAAATCGACAACACAAATAGATGGATATGAAGTGGTAAAGGAATTATTTAATATCTAGAGAAGCTTATTGTAAAGGAGAAAGATTTATTATTTAAAAATTCTAAGTTTATATACACACTCTAATTTAGTTGGTAACTTTTTAAGTTCTTTGGCTACTTTTCTAAGTCCTTTGGTCACTTTTCAAAGTTCTTTAGTAAAATTTCTAAGTTCTTTAGTCATTTTTCTAATTTTTTTCTCTCTATTTATGCTCAAAAATATTCTTAAATCGCAAAAATATATTTTATGTATGATCTAGGAAGGTGCCTATTACAAATAATTATAGGTTTTGAAATGGTGTAAAATGAATGTTGTTTTATATTTTTAAAATATTTGAGTAAAAATGCGCCTTAAAAGTTTCTGAGAGCTCTTGTGTCGTTAGATTCTATCCCATTTTCTTTTACTAAGATTTCTATTTTTTTATAAGTTACTTGTGTGTAATAATAACATATTTTCAAATCGAATAGGGAAAATGGGCCATGAACTACCACGTGAAAACAAAAATCTTACGGATTTTTTATTTTATCTTAAAACCTAGAATCTTATGTCGCAAACAGACAGCACACATAACAGTTCTGTGTACGTATCAAACCAGAGTGTCGAGTTTCCGTAGATTCATTCGCCCGTATCTTAGACGCCACGAGTAATTCACGTCTTCTTCCAGGTCAACATCACTTGGAACCCAAACAGCACAGTAACATTCTACAACAAGAGATATTGGCAATACGAAGAGAACATGTCCAATGGCAGCCTATCAGACATTGTCACCAGTATCAACCCCGTCATTGCGGTAAGTCGTACTTTTACTGTACCAAAATGCATCACAGACACATTGTCACCTGGCCAGCAATGGAGTTTTACGGCACTCTTATCTGTAGCTCATGTGGCGGCGTTCCAGTCTGCCAGATGAGCCCTCTGAGACCTACCCATTAAGGGGGACAGCTGTAAGGCGAGGTCAACTGGCGAAGATACTTGGGGTTACTTGCACCAACGTTGACAATATCAAACATGTTAAAGTACCGGTTAACCAAATAATAACCGGGTATCATTTGGCAATGGTTGGATGAAGTCATAACTTTAACTGTAAACTATAATGAACCGTCATAAGTTTCGCTATAAATTAAAGTTATTATTTGAGTATGCCAAGAAAGAGGATGGTGCAACCTATTTCAAAGTCAATGTTAAAGTCAGCGTGACAGATATTATCAAATTTGACATAAACCTTATCTTTAACTGCAATTATGGTGCAACCGAGATTTCGTCTTCGAGTAGGGGCTACCCATAAATTATAAGTAAGATTAGTGTCGCTATAAATCTTATTAATTGTGCTAGCTTATTACTAATTAAGCTTGGACAATCATACGGCTAAATAATGCCATAATTTGCTACTAGGAATAGAATTGAAAACAGCAGTAGAATGATTGGGTCCTAATCAAAGCTGTGTTACAGACGATGGGTTACGTGATGCGGTACCAGCGCGTCAGTCTCAACATTCTGGTGGACAGCTTCATAAGGATGTTCCACAATAACATATTTCTATCGGCCAACGTTTCTCAATGGCTGTTCGATGGCATAGAGGATCGCGTGCTCGATATAGCTACACACATACCGTTCCTGCCGTTCGATATACCGTATGATAAATTTGGCTGGTTTTATACGGTAAGTGGATTTTCAAGTTTTGTTAAATTATAATGAGGAAGTATTTTAAGAAAAAAAAAAGAAAGCACTAAAAAGCGTCTCCCTAGATGGCGACTCTACTAAAAGATGATTATCGCAGGAAACGAATGGATTGAAGATAGTAATTTCCGTTCCCTTTAACTGACATATTAAAAAAACCGAAATTTGCAAAGTTCGAAACTTAGATATCAATACAAATACCAAAAAGTACAAATAGAATATGAGTTGTTTATTGAGTTTTGAAAATTAATTTACCGTGGGAGAGCCACGCTTCAGCATGAATGGGCCGGCTCGACCGGAGTGATACCACGGCCTCACAGAAAACCGGCGTGAAGCAACGCTTGCGTTGTGTTTCGTCGTGTGAGTGAGGGTATCGGAGGCCCAACCCCTCCCTACTCCCTTCCCTCTACCCCTCAACCCTTCCCTCCAAGGCCGGCAGCGCGCTTGTAGCTCCTCTGGTGTTGCAGGTGTCCATGGGCGACGGTAATCACTTACCATCAGGTGATCCGTCTGCTCGTCTGCCGCCTATCCAATAAAAAAAAAACTTTTATACGTGAAAGAAAACCGGAAGGATTGTCATAGAGAAATCAAGAAAGTACCGTAGCGACATCTAGTTTTATTGCTGGAACTTATGTCTTTTTTTAATACTTCCTCATTCCTAGTGTAAAATAGGTAGTTTTCTTGCCGTTTGGCAACCGTGTCCCTAGATTTCTAGGGTAATAAGCAATGACTTTGTAATACATCAGCTACACAAGTACCCATGCAAATTTTTGGAAGAAAATATACATATCTATACTATGTTACGCTGTGGTAATATAGCACTCTATTGATGATTTTTTTCTCTAATCATAAACATATCGTGGAATGGAACATTATTTAAAGTCTTTTAAAATCCGCAGTTGATTTGCCTTCCATCGTATGAACTTACGTTTTGCGTATGTTTTGTTTCTTAAAATAAAACTATGTTATTAAAAAATTGTTTACGGTTAATTAATATTATGTACTTTAATTAAAGCTTGTTAAGTATCAAATTTGTTAAATCTGACTCATTCAGAACGCTTTACGATAATTATTATTTAAATAGGGCAAGAGTTCACTGGCTGGTTTAGTTGTCGTGTATGACACATTATTAATATAGAGATTAATCAATGCGGTTCAATGACTAATAAATATGTATATAAGTATGTTTTATTACGTGGAGTTTGTTTTCAAACAACAAACAATTAGAAAAAATATGTGTTTAGATACCTAAAGTCTGTTTTTTAATCTCGTTAATTCATTATCGGTATCGGTATCGATAATCTTAATAATAAAATGCATTGTTGATAAAAATACACTTTTGACATCCATCATTCTTCACTGATGACTGGTGATGCTAAAATTTTCTTTTAAATTATTGATAATGGTTTTAAAAATGAATTTCAATCGAAATCAGTTGAATATTTTTCAATAATTTATATCAGTTATGTGATTATTATAAATTAGCTTAGCCTATGTTACTCGTCTATGATGAAGCTTATAGCTTTCAAAGCTCTTTCGATAAAAACAAACAATGAACCTTTCTTCTTTATTATATTAATAAGAACTATTCATAAGATGGCTGCATCGATAGTTCCACCCCCCGATCCACTCTGGGCCCCTATTCTCTTCATTCTCCCTATTCGATTTAATTCTATTCATAAGGATGGTCTATATTGCATGTAGGGTCTTTAATAGGCTGAGGATAATGATGAAAATATAATATTTGAATGATTAAATTCTTCTTTGTGTCGTTTTTGCCTCCATCAAAAAATATTAATTCAATTGTAACAGTTGCTCGAGTGATCACTTGGATTTTTAGAACAAATCCCTAGTGATTAAAAAGAAAACGAATACACAGACGAGCGTAGTGGCGTTTAGAATAATATTGAGTTATTGAGAAAGGTTAATAAGTAAAATGGTCGTATTTTACCTATTTTACCCCCGTGTAAAGGGGTGTTACAGTTATAGGACGGTCAGTTCGTCCAGTCGAGGCACATCACTAAGAATTGCAAAAACTTGCTAACACAGTCAATGTTAATTAATTCACCGAGATTAAAAAACATACTTTAAACAATCGAAAGAAATATTTTAAGCCAAAAATGTTTTGGGAAAATAACAATGTTTCACTGTTTATTTTAGGTTAATTTTCATTAATATATTCGCCTTTTGTATTCTCAAGGATATTACAAATATGTACATTCGTTTTTACTTATTAAAAATTGTATGTTTTTATCTTTGTGACTGCCGTAATCTTATTGTATAATTAGTGACATTAATGCATACATTTTATGTCTGATAACTATTATTTTTACTATGATTTATTTTGCGATTAAAAAAATATTGTTTTCTATAAGCGATGACGTCATCATTGACGTTACTGTTGTACTGTATTAGATTTAGATTGTTACCGTTTATCGATAGGTACAAACTTGACGTTTTATATAGATTCATTGATACATGTCTATTATTAGACATCCTTAACTTAATGACAAGGATACAGAATGAAGAGGAAATGATATTTTTCTTCCAGGCATTGCGAAAGGTAGTGGGTTCGAATCATATTTCGGCGACCGGGGTGAATTTTTCAAGCATTTTCTTTAAATAGAAATATCGAAGTTAATTTGTTTTATTTGATCAATTTTGCATTCAGAATGCTCACTGATGAATATTCTTAATGAAAATTGCTCAAAAATCCACTTTGTCCCTGGCACTCTGGCACGCACAGTCTGCTGTTTGGGTGGATTGCCTGAACATTGATTAAAATACGGTCTGTAGTAGTTAAATGTATTAAGTGCTTGAAAAATTCGTCAGTCCTGTTAGGTAGCTAAGTGGCTAGAGCAGGCGCCCGGATTACGAAAGGTTATGGGTTCGAGTCCCATCTCAGAGTGGCAGGGGCAAAGTGGATTTTTAAGCATTTTACATTAAGAATATTTATTTATTTTGTTTACAATCAATTTGATATTTGTTATAGGTCCTTAGGTTAGGTATATATATATATTACTAGCTTTCCTTCAGCGGCTTGACCCGCGTGGTCTTGTATTATACATAAAAACCTTCCTTTTGAATCACCCTATCTATGAAAAAAAACCGCATCAAAATCCGTTTCGTAGTTTTAAAGATTTAAGTATCATCATCATCATCACCACCAGCCATTTTACGTTCCCACTGCAGGGGCTCAGGCCTTCCTTATGGATGGTCAAGGAGGATGGGCCATGACCCTCTACGCTGGCCCAATGCGGATTTGAGGGTATTAACGGCTGCTAATGCAGCCGGGACCAACGGCTTAACGTGCCTTCCGAAGCACGGAGTAGCTCGAGATAATAATTTTTGGTCACCCATCCCGTGACCGACCCTTGCGAAAATTGCTTAACCACTACGATCGCGGGCCGCGGCGCTTGTGCACAACGCCACCGAGCTACCTCGGCACATTGTTTCACGGGTCGTGGTAACCGATTGCGTGAATCTATTGCGCGGATTGTTTCACGGCTCGTGATACTTTCATTGTTACGTGTCGTGACGTTCGACTTTCGCGTAACGATTGCTTCATTAGACTGTTTATTATACGGTTTATCGATAAGCAAATTTTAGTTTTACCTCTGATTATTTTCTATTGTGGACCATGATGGCGTTTCTTCTGCGATTGCAAAATGTTGGTGATCGGATGGGTGGCCAAAAATTTATTATACAAGGTGTAATATTATTGTATGCCAGGACTAGGGAATGCAATCTCGCGAAATTGGGACGCGGGCGAGATCTCGCGAGTTTATGAGTATCAATACCGCGAGATCTCGCCAATTAAGGTCTATTGTGACTCGTTGCCAGATCTATAGTAACTCCTTTAGCCCGGTAGACATCAAAAAGTTTATATTCCTGGCTTTTAGAGATTTTATATCTTCTGGGCTGATTATATGTTTGCGGATCAGTGGTCCACATTCACATAGGAGATGTTTTGGTGTTTCACGTTCCTGTTTGCAATATCTGCAAATGTCAGTGTCACTTAGTTTCATGTTCAATAGGTGTCTGTTTAATTTGCAGTGTCCAGATAAGGCTCGTACAATTAAGCTTATATTTGCTGTCTAAACTAGCTGAAGAGCTTCAAGAGCTCTTCAGCTAGTTTTTGTGAACGACCTTCAATTAGGGATTTAGCGTGATTTCATCCTGGCTGTTTTTGCCAGTATAGGTCGCTAAGTACATTCAACAGCATCTCTCATCCTATACAAATCTGTTAAATTTCTCCACTTGATTTTTAAACTTAATACGTCGATGGTAGAATTCAAAATTAATTACAGAAATTTCACATGTTGTGTTTACGTGACGTGTAGCCCTGTATACACAAATGAAAACGGTCGCCCATTTGTATAATTTAAAAATCTATTGCAATCATTTTCAAAGGTATAGCGATTAATGTAATTATATAACTTTTATTATATATATTTGAGTAGCTCGGTGGCGTAGTGGATAAGCGCCGCGGCCCGCGATCGTTGTCGTTAAGCAACTTTCGCAAGGGTCGGTCACGGGATGGGTGACCAAAATATTATTATCTCGAGCTACTCCGTGCTTCGGAGGGCACATTAAGCCGTTGGTCCCGGCTGCATTTGCAGTCGTTAATACCCTCCAATCCGCATTGGGCCAGCGTGGAGAGTCATGGCCCATCCTCCTTAACCATCCATAAGGAAGGCCTGAGCCCCTGCAGTGGGGACGTAAAAGGGCTGATGATGATGATGAATGATGATGATAACTTTTATTGTCCCTATTCCTTTCGGAGCGAATGATGATTTGAATGTTCAATAAACATAAATGATAAAAAACTTTATTTACTTAAACTAACTTGCGCCTTCCCCTGGCCTTAAACAATTCCAATTAACGTCAAATTAACTTTATCGTTCATTTAATATATTTTAAAAAGACTTGGTGATCGCATCACATGTTAAATAGTTGTAGCGTGAAGTTCCTCAATATGATAGGTTTTAAAATTTGAAAACAAGGCTTCATGTTATTTAATCATAAATAAAATTAATTTGTAATCTACAAATATCTGCTCATACGACGGCTAATCTCTGCGGTCTGATTGGGATAACCCAAAACAACTGAACATAATCATGAACACGTGGACTGTACATGATTTTTAAATATTTTCTCAGCGCAACGGGTCTTTGGAATACGACGGTGTATTCCTGATGAACACCGGCGCTTCGGACTTCTCGCAGCTGGGCAACGTTGAGAAGTGGCGTTACTCCAACCGCACCATGTACCGGGACGAGTGCGGGGTGGTCCGCGGCTCCACCGGGGAACTCTGGGCGCCCGAGTTGGGACAATCGGAGGTGTACGTCTTCGCGGCGGATATATGCACGTGAGGGAAACAATAATGTTAATTGTTTAAATTGTTATATAAGATAAAATACAAATCATGCTCCAAAAATCAAATAATCAAATGCTTAAAAAATCACTTTGCCCCGAGGTACTGTGAGATGGGCCTCGACCTATAGCAATCCGGGCGACTGGAGATGTTTCGTTTTCACAAGCGAAAGGCGAAAGAGTGAGATAGAATACAAATTTCCACCAGTTGGCTGCGTCGCATACACCACGTGTGTGTGACGTTTTAATTAAGCAATTATCTAATCTAAACAATATAAAAATCCATGGCTATTATCAAGCTTACTATCTCAATATTCTATAGGTGATTAAGAATTAATATACCCCTGGATATAGAAATCGGGGCCTCTTATAATAATCTAATCCACAAGTTATTAAACACGGGTTAGAATCAATGTTATATCTTAGTACTGTCAAAAGAACTTTAGGTAATAAGGTAACATGATTTAAAACCTTAGCCCATTGAATTTTAGGTTCAAATTTAATAGGGTTGGAACCAGATCTCTCATTCCAGGTTCTCGTTTCATTCCCCCCCCCCCCCCTTTTCGTGAAAGTTATTTAAAATAAATTGCAACAGTTTCTGGGTGTAGGCGACGCATACACACTCAATAAATTATGTAATTTGTCTTAGTTTTACGTTAATTATTTTTAATTTACCTATATGTTATAGATAATAATTTATGTATCCATTTGTACCCTCTGCCTTTGATTTTTATAATAAAGTTAATGCGGGTGGCTGTCGATTGCGGTACACACATCGCGCTCATACGTCCCGCCTTTATTCCAGTAGCTTCTACACCGCGACCGCAACGACAGCTTTCCGTATGCTCTGGATCAAATAGTCGTTTTCATTTTTCCATCTTTTACAAAATTGATCCATCGAGCCAAATCTAGTAACCAGTAACGTTTATAATAATTAATCATGCATCGTACACCACCGCGCGACAATATTACGCAAAAAGACCGATTAAAATTAACGGAACGATTAGAATGTACTTCCGAGCACGTGCTCGCTAAGAGCAACAAAATGGCGGTGCCGGTGCCAAACGACAATTCATCCTTGAAAATACATCCAGGACATTGGAAAGCGACTTTTACGCGACAATCGGTGAAGAATGAGTCGATGCATTCGTCAAAAAAGTCGACGTCATCTCAAGCCCACCGCAAACAGCTTGAACTAGAAGCTGCTCAAGCCAAAGCGAAAATTGAAATTGAATTAATTAATAAGCAGCTAGAAGTCAATTTAGCTCTAATAAACGAAGACGACAATCGATCCAGAAGTGGATCACAATTTAGTAAAAATACGGACGCCAATATATGTTCACGAGTTGAGGATTGGCTGGATCGCAGCAGCATAAAGCCGCCTAAGCTGGAAGACAATGCAGCAGCGACGGCTACAGAGGCAGCGCAGGCTACTAAAGTTATAGAACCGAGTCACGCTATGGCCTCCACCCAGCCTGTCGACAGCATCCTTCAGCTAGCGCACACCCTCAAGGACATCATGGTTTCGTCTTCTAAACAGCATGAAGATAGTCTACTCACGCGACTGTCTACCCCTCGTGAGCTGCCTATTTTCAGTGGAGACTGTATAGAATGGCTGCACTTTAAAAGTGCCTATAATGAAACAACTCGAATGTGTAAATTTACCGAGTCGGAGAATATATGGCGACTACGTCGTGCTCTAAAAGGAGAAGCCAGAGAAGCAGTCACTGACCTTCTAATAGGTAATACTTCGCCATCACATATTCTCGAGGCACTAGAATTACGATTTGGACGGCCAGATATCATAATTCATCATTTGTTATACCAGATGAAAAAGTTGACACCGTTACCTAATAATTATCAGCAAGATATATTCAATTTTTCCATAAAAATAAGCAACTGTGTGGCTACGTTACGTGCTATTAATCAGAATGATTATCTATGTAGTCCAGAATTGTTATCTACTGTCACATCAAAGCTTCCGAGTACACTTATTGGCAAATGGACTGAATATGCGTACCAGAAATTATATGAAAAACAATCGAAATTGGAATTAATTGCATCATTCCTCAAGCGCGAGGCAGAAATTATATCCGTAGTAGGTATGATACAACCACGAGAATATAAAAAATTTGATCCTGTTACCTACATACGCAAGCCAACAGCTGATAACCGGCATAATAGTAATAATCGATCTATACTCGCGACAGCCTCCACAAATGACATTAATGCAACTGTATGCAATTTTTGTAAGAAGTGTTCACACACACTAACGAGTTGCCGTGTATTTAAGCGAGCTATGAGAAAGGAACGTTGGAGATTTGTTAAAATGAATAATTTATGTTACTGTTGCCTATCAAATAGACACGACAAGAACGAATGTCCAGCACCGCTATGTAATATCGATAACTGCGGGCTCGCACATCATCATTTGTTGCACTACAATAAACCTTCTTCGAGCCACACCCCATCGGAAACGCAGCCTTCGAATATAAACGCCACCACCGGCAGCGCGCAGGCCCTGCCGCGCACAGCTGCTCCGCCACCGCTGCGGGCCGATGCTGGGCCGCTGGCTGCGCAAGCCGCCGCCGCCGCCGTTACGCGCGTATCGGGCCCTGAGTCAACGCAGCTCGCGCAAGCGAGCGAGGTCTCCGCGCCCGCGCCGCACGTTATGCTCAAAGTGGTAAAAGTGAATCTCAGTGGACCCCTCGGTATTGTGAGTACATATGCTTTATTAGACGATGGTGCTGCGATATCAATGATAGATAAGACTCTAGTACGTGAATTAGGCTTAAAATCTTTTCAACCTAGTCCTATAAAATTTGTTGATGCCTTCGGCTTAGAAATTTTTCAATCTGATGCTCCTAAAGTATGTACAAAAATATCTAGTTTTCATGATAATAATAATGTATATGAAATTACTTTACGTCAAGTTGATAAACTTAAGTTGCCAAATCAGAACTTGTCTTTAGTAAATAATATTAATTGTGATAATTTTTCGCATATTAAACGATTTGTATGTAAAGAGTGTGTTATGCCTCGCCTACTGATCGGCCAAGATAATTATTTCTTAATGGCTCCCTTAGACATATTGCACGGTAATGAGCGAGAACCTTACGCGACTAAATGCCGATTAGGATGGACACTTCACGGCTGCATCGGTCGCAGTCACACTTCCATCAACGGACACGCGTTCCATCTTGCTCACTCAGAGTTCCTACAGGTAAGTGATAACATTGTAGGTACTGATAGTATGAATGAGTTGACTGATTTAATTAGACGATCGTATGACTTGGACTGCATAGGAATATCGACCGTCCGACGTGAGAATACGGCACACTTGAGAGCTATTCGTATTTTAGACGAAAGTTCACGCAATATTGGTGATCAATGGGAGGTCGGTCTGCCATTCAATAAGGATGTTTTTTGTATGCCCGACAGTTACAACTATGCCTTATCACGTTTGAAAGGTTTATTAAAGAAGTTCAAAGCTGATGATTCTTATGCAAATAGGTATCGTCAAGAGATACAGAAATTATTCGATCTAGGCTACGCTCGAGAACTTAAAGAAAACGAACTTAAAGCCAACCATATTTGGTATTTGTCACATTTTGGAGTACAGAATTCAAATAAACCCGACAAATTAAGATTAGTTTTTGATGGTGCAGGGAAAGTTAACGGTGTTTGTTTGAATGATTATTTGTTAACCGGTCCCGATCTGTACAACTCTCTTTTAGGTATTATGTTACGCTTTCGTCAACATAGGTATGTTATAGTTGGCGATATAAAGGATATGTTTTTGAAAATAAAAATACGTGATAATGATCAACACGTTTTGCGATTTTTGTGGCAAGATAGTTCCAATAGCAATATAAAAATATGTGTAATGCAAAGTTTAATTTTTGGCGCGACTTGTTCACCATTTATCGCACAATATATAAAAAATAAAAACGCGTTGAAATATCAAGATTTATATCCCGATGCCGTAGACATAATTATTAACAATCATTATATGGATGATTGTATACATTCTTGTGACAATGAAAGGAAGGCTATTCAACTAGTGCGTGATATCACTTATATTCATAAACAAGGCGGCTTCGAAATAGCACGATGGTCAAGCAATAGTAAACAAGTACTGTCGGCTATTCCGCCTGAGGCACTCGCGCATACTGCAATTGATTTTAGTCAAGGTGCCACAAATGTCACTGAGCGTACACTCGGTTTAATGTATTATCTGAATGAAGATACTTTCGGATTTAAGATTTGTCTTGCTCGTCTTCATAATGACGTTCTAAATGGTACGCAACCCCCAACTAAGTCACAATTACTGAGTGCTATTATGTCCGTGTATGACTTGCATGGTTTTCTTTCTCCGTTTATTATTAAAGGTAAAATAATATTTCAGTCTGTACATCGCAGTGGAGTCGATTGGAATAGTTATATACAGTGCGATGAGCATTTAAAGTGGATGGTTTGGCTAAAAGAACTGCAACTATTAGGCTCATTACGTATTCCGCGTTGTTATTTAAATGCGTCTAAGTGGACACAAGAATCGAGGTCATTAAAGGTTGGTGATTATGTAATTTTAGTCGAGCCTAATTTGGAACGTAATTCCTGGAGACATGGA